AGTGGGCGTGGCTCAGCCTTCAGGCCAGACTACAGCCATTAGTCCCTGTGCAGAGCCCAACTGGGCCCCCCGCAGCAAGAGTCTCGGGGGAGCTGGCCAGTGAGAGAGAGCTCACTTCTTTGTGTAGCCAGGGATGGGGAACATCCCACAGTATAAAGCCCAGGAAATCATTAGATCTGGCCCTGCCAAGGCATTAGGGGTGAGGTAATTAAACGTTTACCCAAATATAGCAGGCTAAATTTTAATTTAATAATTTTGTATGGCCCGAGAATGATGTTATAAATATACAAATGGCCCTTGCGAGAAAAAGATCCCCCACCCCTGGTTTAGAAGTTTACATATTCAGGTTTCATGCACTTGCAATGGCCATACCCATCCCTGCCAGTTAGCTGTGTCCAGGTGTGATTGATGGGCACTCCCATTCCCACGTCACTCAGACCTGCACTGGGCATGCATCTACTCTGTCTTTGTCCGGTCCCTTTCCCCATCAACCATTTGGGAATAGACTCAGAGACTGTTAAGTGCAGTTTTGTGGCAAAGCTGTGTAAATGGCATGCCTATATTTTTTGGTACCCCTTTTACTCCTTTTCTGTTGAATAATTAACCAGTATCAATCCCATGGAGGACTACTGGCACCTCAGTTCATTTCTGTGTCTGGGATTCTTTTGAGGTGAGGTAATGGTTGAGAAGGGGTTGGGACTATGACTTTAGAGAAGAATATTGTTGAACAAGACAGAGATTACTATATGGACATAATGGCAAGAAACCCAGGATTTTCAGATATGTCCAGTTTGGCAAAATTAATTAGGTTCTTCCAGATATTATAATTATTTAAGCTAATGCAGTATGTGCTGTCATTTCTGTATCACATTTAACTCTGAGTTTTATGTTTCTGATTCATGGGACCATTCCACTCTCCCTTGACTGGTAGGCATTTTTTTCAACACCTTATTCTCTTGAATTTTGCTAGCTCTGAAGATAACTTGCATCTCCAGAGCCTCAGGTTTTAATAGTGCTCATGACTCCTCGTGAAGTAGTTTCGAATATGAATTCCTTCTTTCCCTCAGCAGTTATTATTTTGGTTATTGATATTGAACTGAACACTTTCTCCCACATCAAAGTTTTCAATAATTTCTTTCTGTTTTGCCTCTTTAAAAAAGTTATGTTACATGTGGGTGAACCCACTATTACAAAATCATTGAATTTTAGAATTGAAAAATATATTGGAAAAATGCAAAGCGTTGCTGTCTGTTTATAGTTCTCAGGAGAATTGCTCAGCAGGTCAGTAAGTTTGCTGCTTTGGCCACCAGGACAGCAGTGTCTTCCAAAAGGCAGCAGAAGCTTTCAGATTTTTCTTTTTTAGTGCAAACCTTGTTCCAAATACAACTTAATGTTGAATGCCAATATCTAGCATATAAAAGCGGTGTTTTATTTATAAGCATGTACTTTGTAAGTTCAGATATATCAGTTTTCTCATTGTAATGTCAAACGATGAGAATAATTAGATTATTTTCATGAAATGATACTTCCAAATGAGAGGGAGGAGTGGTAAGTGAGGGAATTTCCTTCATGAATTTAAGAGAGGGAGGAATGGTGAGGGAATTTTCTTCACACCTCCCTAGCATCAAAATAGAACGATTTTTTGCCAGGTGTGAAAGAAATTCACGTACTCACAGGAAAGCAGTTGCAAATTATAGCCTCTCCGCCTCCCCATTCACTTTTCCATCTCTGTTTAAAAGTTAAACGGACTTTTTAATTCCACATAAATGGCAGGAGTAGGTTGTCCCTCCAAAGACTGCCTCCAGACTAACTTGCAAGTTTAGTACAGTAGGGTTTCCATGGGCTAACCTCTCTGTAACAAGTTTGAGAGTAGATTTAAAAAAAATTTTTATTGATTTTTTACAGAGAGGAAGGGAGAGAGATAGAGAGCTAGAAACGTCGATGAGAGAGAAACAGCGACCAGCTGCCTCTTGCACACCCACTACCGGGGATGTGCCCGCAACCAAGGTACATGCCCTTGACCGGAATCGAACCTGGGACCTTTCAGTCCGCAGACTGATGCTCTACCACTGAGCCAAACCGGTTTCAGCTGAGAGTAGATTTTAATTACAGTCTTTAAAGTAGTTAAAAGACATATGTAAATTCTTAAATTGAAACAGTTGTGGACCCTTGAACATCTCTGTGAAACTTTATTTTACACATTGCATTTTTTTTTTTAAAGTGCTTCTATTACTTTAGCTTTAAAGTAGAGCCACGTACAGTTGCTACCCTTGAAAGGTCGGTAACCTTCAGCTTTCTGAGACTGACCGGCAAATGTTACAGAACACGCCGACATGGCCTGTCCAGCTTCATGTGTGAGCACAGGTCAGAGGCAGCCCCCATGGTGTGGCTGACACAGAATCTGCGGCTTCGCTCCCTCACTGAGTCAATAACTCTAGTTTTTGCCAACGTTTGAAACAAACCTGACTCTCTGGTGTCTGGGTTAGAAGAAGGAAAGCAGAAGAAAAGGAGATGTGAATGGCAGAGGGCTGTGTGTGAGACGTGATCTCCTGACAGCCCCATGTTGAGAAGCAAAGCGCAGGAATCACGCTCCCTGCAGGCCGGGGCCGGCCTGGCCTGTGAACTCTGAGCGCACTGCTGCTTTTTGTCGGCCTCTGGTCGTATCTGTTAAGAGTCATAAAATTCAAACTGGGCTGGTTTACGCTCTAAGAAGGCAGAAAGATGATGTAAAGCTTTTCGAAGGACATTATGAAAATAAAGTGCTTCCAGTAAGTTAAGGGGTTTTTAACTTCAGTTATCTGGAAAGTATACGTATGTGGGACATTTCATTACTGAAGAACACTGGCAAAACTGAGGCATTAATGTATGTTTTCCTACCACAAATCTGACTCCACAGGGCTACAACATGTGTCTAATTCTTATTTCAGAAGTGCTAGTGGGCTTTTGGTAGGTTGTTCAGAGTTTATTTGCATCGACAAAGGTTTACTCCAGAGCCTTCTCATAGAAAGTCAGGAACAGGGGATGCTGAAAAGAACCTTCTACTGGGAGAGCAGAGTTTGAAACAGCCTAGAGGCATAGAGGACTTCTGAGAGACAACAGGGTGGACATCACCAAGGAGAGGAGCCAGTTCTTTGAAGAACAGCCTTGAGTTCCACAGCTTTTGTGCTGATGGAACTGCTGCAGCTGAGACCCTGAGGACCAGCTGGGTGTGGCGAGGGTGGGGGTGCGGTGGGAGGCAGCCATGAGTCAATGTTGTGTCCTTACCCACACTGGGCAGTAAGTGCCTTCACTTCCCAGCAGGAGGGCCTGTGTGTTTGTATATGTGTCCATGTATGTTACATATATGATAAAACATGATGAAGCTTTGCTGTAGCCTGACTTGTGCTCTCAGGTTTTGGCTGATTGTTCTCTCCCCATCTCCCCCACTCTTCCTCCCTCCCTCTCTCTTTTCTTCTTTTCATAAATATTTATTGAAGTCATACTGTGAGCCAGACACTCGGTAGGTGCTGAGTGTGTTCTGACAAAGGGCAGGCCAGCCTGTTCTTGCTGCCACAGAACTCTCCCTGTGCTGTGAGACAGAGACATGTCAGCAGGAACATACAGATGGATATGCTAAGGATTATAATGGGGAAGAAAGTACATTCCAGGCACGTTGGAGAGACCAGGAAAGCTTCCTAAAGAAATTCATCCAAGGCTAGTCCTAAGTGTTGAGGAGGAGTTTGCCAGGTAGGCGGGTGGGAGAAGTATAAGTGTTTCAGGGCAGGGGAACATTGTATGGGGTCGGAGGTGGCAAAGAGAAGGGTGAACTCCATGGCCAGAGCATGGCGGATGAGGGAGAAGTCTGCTGAGGCCTGATCATGGGGGAAGATAGGATGCTGGGCTTTATTCTCAGAGCAGTGGGGAGCCATTGAAAGGTTTTACCCTGAGGGATAATGTAATCAGATATTTTTTACTCTTCTAAAAAACATTTGTTTGGCAATTCAGATCGGAAGGGCAAGGTTGGCAAGTGTTGTAGTTGCTGAAGATAAATGTGGCCTATATGAAATAAAAAAAAATGCAATGAAGGTAGAGAAAAGTTAATGTAATTGAGCCATGTTTAGGAGATAGAAGCCATAGACTTGGTGATTGATCGATAGGATGTGTGAGGTGCCAAGATAACTTCAGGTTTCTGGCTTGGATAGTTTGGCACTAATAAAGGAAAGAGAATACAGGGGAAGACTTGGGGTGGGAAGATGGAGAGTTGCGTTTCAGACTGGTTGATTTTGTGGTGGGCATGGGATATACACAAGTGGCAATGCCGTTGGATCCAAATGAAGGGAGTAATTAGCACTTATAGAGGAGGTGCCCAAAACTGTGGGAACCAATGAGATCAACAAGAAGAAACCCACAGGACACAGAGGAAGAGCTAGATGGGGAGAAGCCAGGTCAGGAGTGTGTGATAACACAGAAATCAAGAAAGGGCATTCGGATGGAGGGAAACCACACGAGAGGAAGACCAAAAGGTGTCTGTTGGGTGTGTCTACCAGGAAGTCATCGTAACTGTGACCAGAGAAACTTATGGAAACAGAAGCTAGAAGCCAGAATGCATAGAGTTGGGGAGAGAGATGAAGAGGAGATGAGCAGGGACAGTGAGTTTAGGTTTATTTTTAAGGAAGTCTGGTTGAAGAAGAGAATAGATTCTAACCATCACATGCTAGAATGTGGGGTGGATAGAGGGACAGTAAAAGGTAGGAGAGCCTTGAGCATACTTGGATGCCAATGGCAAGTAGTTAAAAGCATAGAGAGGCTGAAATTTGGGGAGGGAGTAGGAATAAATGGTGATAGAGGGTCCTGAGAATGGAGGAGGGGGTGGGATCCAGAATAATTATAGAGATGACCTTAGCTAAGAGGAGAGACACCTCTTTCTATTGTGATCAGAGGGGAGAATAAAACATTTGGTGTGAAAGCATTGTTTTGTATCATAGTATTTTAATACATTCTTTAAAAAAATTTCCCCACAGACACTACCCGAAGCAGTCCTTCACTACTGTGGCAGATACACCCGAAAATCTCCGCCTGAAGCAGCAGAGTGAATTGCAGAGTCAGGTAATGCCTACAAGGCCCGTTTTTGTTACATTGGTACTAAATACTGTTCACAAAGTCACTCTCTGGAGCTCCTGTCATCGTACTGTTCCCGCTGGGTCTCTGGCCGGTGTGGAGCCGAAAGCAGGCCTGGGTGGGCATCCTGGGGGGGACTGCTGAACATCTGTTGCCTCCTGGTCTTGGATCATCCTCACATTTTTGGTTGTGTTATTCACATGGGACTGGGGCAAGTAAACGAGTTCTGGTCAGAGTTAGTGTTTCCCAACAATATTGATTTATTTGGTCCCAAATATTTAAAAACATCTTATGACTAGCTTTCCCACACCACATATGCAGGGGGAGAAGAGGTGTTAACTTGACCCAGTTGCAGTGCATGCGGGGTAACACCCTGTCTGTGTGGCTCACACCAGTCACTAGCTTTGTTTTCATCTTGTCACTTTATTCATATTTCTTTCATATGTCACACTGACAGCATGAACAAAGTTTAGAACACCACATTTGGCTCCCAGTCAACCATTTTGGTTGGAAACCTGCCTTCAATATGGCGAAACACATTGGTTAAGACCAGGGATTTGAACGGGAGTGTTTTTCGCAGGGACGCCTCTTCTTTTCCGAAGAAACCCAGCGTGCTCTGCTTCGGTGTAGTTTCCTGCCGACCATGGTATAAAAAGGTTCTGAGGAACAACACTGAACCTATTGGTCAACAGTGTACAGGCACACTTCATTTTATTGCACTTCGTTATTGTGCTTTGCAGATATTGCATTGTTTTTAAAAAAAATAAATTAAATGTAAAACCCTCTACCAGCAAAAAGAATATGACTCCATGAAGGCTAGGATGATGGTTAGCACTTTTTAGCAATAGTTTTAATTAAGTTGTGTACATTGTTTTGTTTGTTTGTTTGTTTGTTTTTAGACAAAATATTGCACACTTAATAGACTACAGTAGAATATAACGAATTTTTATATTCACCGGGAAACCAAAAATGGAACCTGACTTGCTCTATGGCCACCTTTGCTTCAATGCTGTGGTCTAGAACTGAACCTGCAGCGTGTGGGAGGCAGACCTGTGGTGAAATGACCCCGAGGATGGGGAGGACGGGTTGGGATGTGATCCTCCAGATGCTGTTCATTGTTGGGGACCTTGAACCAGCCACTCTGATCCTTTGTGCTAATGTAAAGTGTGATGATCTATCTTATCTGCTCTGTCTTGAGGGTAACTGCGAGTATCAAATAGGTATGAAAGCATTTTGAAGACTTAAAAAATATATGAGTGTGGAGGCTTATTATTATTATTATCCCTGAAACTCCTTGCTATGAAAAAGGGAGAAAAGAAGAATGTGTGAAGGAAAGAGGTGTCTAGCTAGCACTCTTTGGAAACGTCAGACTGTCGCTATTCTTAATGAGAATAGTTAGCTCTCAGTTGCTCTGGATCTAATTATTCCCTCAGGTTTGTCAGAGGGGAGATAGTGGATCCCATCACCCTCTCTCCGGGAGACTTGGGACCACTTCACAGTCCATTTAATTAGAGGAACTGTAGCTCAAAATAGAGTTTACTGTTGGTTCACAATACCACGAAGACGTGGTTGGCCATTCGTTTTTTGGTTTGTGTAAAATGCTAATTTTTGTTTGCTGAGCCATTAGTTCAAAACACTGAGAACTAGCCCAAGAGAGGCTCCATTGAGGGCGGGCAGGAGCACCCTTTGCTCGTTCACTCCGCGGAGGAAGCCAGAAGTTGGCTCCAGTCTTTGCTGATCCAATATGCCTTTCTTCTCAGGAAGTGAGGGTTAATTAGATAACTCTGGAGCAGTACTTTGAGCACACTGAAAAGCAGAACTAGATTAAGCAATCAAATATTTGTTTCCTATCAGTTATATACCCTTGTTCTGTGTGAAATAATTTGTAATTAGCTAATCCTCTCTTCACTGAGCTCACAGGGTGTCTGAGGAGACAGGACTATACCCCTCAACCAAGAGTGTCTATGTTTAATTTACAGTATCCTTAGGATAAGTGCTCCATGCTGGGGCGGGATTTGAACGGAGCCTTGAAGGTTAGGAAAGGATCTGGGTATGGCTGGGCCAGGGTGGCTCTGTGTTTGAGCACTGACTCACGAACCTGGAGGTCACGTTTCAATTCCAGGTCAAGGCACATGCCCTGGTTGTGGGCTCGATCCCTAGTAGGGAGTGTGTGGAGACAGCCTATTGATGATTCTCTCTCTCATTGATGTTTCTATCTTTCCCTTTCCTTTCCTCTTTCTGAAACATATTAAAGAAAGAAAGAAAGAAAGGATCTGGTCTGATACCTGGTCTCCTTCCGTTGGAATGCACATGCTCCCTTTGGGTTCAGTTAGTGATCATTGGGTGCCTTCAGCTTGGCCCAGGGATAAATATTTAATGTGTCTTACCTTGTGCCTGATTCTAGAAAGGAAAATTAAAAAGTAGCTCACTGTTTTATGAAAGGCTGATTTTATTCTCCCTCATATAGCAAGTTGCAAGCTTCAGAGGCAGCATGAACAAATATGATAGGCTGGTGGGACAAGAGCAAATAGAGGCATTCACAAAGCACTATGGGGTCTCCAAGCAGTGATCAGGTAAAAGCATGAGAGTATATTTTGCTCAAATATCATTTCCTCTAAGAAATGCAAGACTTCCTAAGGCAGACAGTGTAGGGAAGTTCACGTCAATTAAAAAAACATGTGTTGAATTGAGGTAGGAACTGGGGAGGGGGGTATAAAGGCTTCATCTTCACCATCAATCTTGCTCTATTTGGGGCACATAATTTTACATATATTATTGCATTTAATCTCCCACAGCCCTATGAGGCAAGTATTTATTATGATCTCTAGATGAAACACTCAACCTTTAGAGAATATAGCTAATTTGCTCTTGCAGACTCACTAGGGAGTTGAATTTGGAATAGAACCTAGTTCTGTGCCCATACTCTTCTAGTCCCTTTACTCAGGGACATCTAGAAAAAGAGATCTGTAAGCAAAAAACTGCAGTACAATGTGATACTGCAGACTATGAAGGTAGAATTTTGCAAAAAGTGCAAAAGTCACACAGAGGAAGAACTCCTCTTCATCATCCTCTTCATCATCATCATTATTATTATTCTGTTTGAGAAATGGAAGCTCCATAAGAACATTTCTATTTAATGTCTTAATGGTAATATTCATTAGTGAAAATTGATTCAATTTTAACATATTAAATTATTTGCTTTTGTGGCAGAGCATTTTCTTAGAGTTTTGATGTGAAGAATTCTGAATAGCTCAACAGTTTGGGTGGAAAATTGACTATTAATATTTTGATAACTTGTGGTGCTAAAAGAGTCAAGTTTATTCATAAACTTTAAGTTTTGACATTCTGAAATCCTTTAGAATTGTTTGGTTAAAGCTAATTTTTTTCTTTCCATTCATTAACTTTCCTCCCCTCCCCTCCCCTCCCCTCTCCTTCCTTCCCCTCCCCTCCCCTTTCTGAGTTTAAACACTGCTAGCATTTTTAAGTGTTAGATCTTCTTAAGCTTTTTAGGGATCTACTAGTATATTAGATGCCAGATTGTCCTAATAAAATGTATGAAATATTGGAAAATAAATGAGCAAACTATGAGTTAGCAAGTAGATCTAGGCAGTGGCTTACAGGCATTATGCAGTCCAGTTTGCAAATAACTGTTGCTTGTGCACTTGGCCAGCCACTGACCATGGAGGATGTGGACTGACTTGGATGTTGGTAAGGGAGAGAGGGAAGGAGGGAGGGAGGAAAAGTGGGAGGGAGGGAAAGAAAGAGAGGAAGAGAAGCACTTCCATGTCACTAGCTCTCTTTTCACCACATATCACAGGATGAGCTGCTTCAAAGAAATAACAAATGGTGGTTAGGCGCCCCCACTTGCCCACAGAGTCCATTCAGCAAGGAGTGAAAGGAAATGCCATCTCTAGTGGTATTAGCGACATTATTCTTTGCCTGTAGGGCATCAAGGCTGTATAGCATACTTTTATTGGAAGAAGAGGCACAGATGTTTTGAGTACTTTGAATCAGGCTCTGCAGACTTCTTAAAGCCTTGGAAATGGTTCTTCAAATGGAATTCGGGGTGGAAGCCCCTCTAGAAAAGAGAGAAGAACAGGGCTGTTGTCGCTGGAGCAGGAAGCAGGCCCCTGTGCTCTCCATGTCCCCCTGGCTTCTCCTCACCCTCCCTGCCCAGGGCCCGGCTGATCATCTTAGGAAGCTCTGGGCCTAGACAGGGCAGAGTTCTGAAGCCACTGCTCAAAACAAAGCTGAAATGTTAGCTGCTTCCCACTTAGTTTATGGGATTGGTTTAGCTGTTTGCAATCATCCTGAAAATAATAGGGGCTCACTGTATCCTTGGATGGAGTTTGTGTGATTTATGAGTGCTCCAAGATGAAAGGTTGAAAGTGATTATGGAGAGAATACAAATCATTCTGGAACCTTTGAGTCTTCATTTTGTAATTTGTGCTGATTCTTTTTTAATCTTTCACATTTCTGTGGAGGCATAAAAAACATGGCTCATAGGGAAGAAATATGAAACAGGATAGTAGGAAGTGTGAGAAGGTAATGTGTTTTTTTTATGGGGAACATCTTAGTAGGAGAAATGAAGACACATGTTTAGTATAAACCCCTGGAAGTTCAAGGAGGCAGGGTGTGATATGCATTCTCTTCCTGTGGCTTGTCCTTGGCATCTTCCTGCAGCTCCTTATTCTAAGTCCCATGTCCCTCCGGAGGGTTTTTCTCTCAGTTATCTGTCATCTAACCAACCTAGTAAGGTGTTAAATAATTACCTAGAGCAAGAGTCTTCTCAGGTGGCAGTTGCATTTTAATTGGGTGTCATTGAAGACTGACTTCCTTCAGAGCAACGAATCCCTGACGGTGGAACTTTAGCTACTGTCCAAAGATGATTGGAGAGCTATTTTGGAAAGCCTCCTAAGTATGATTCAAATTTCATGCCAAATTTTATTTGCCAACAAATCAAGTGCCAAATTCTATGTTAGATGCAG